CCCCAAAACCCCAAAACCCCAAGCATAAAATTATATACAGAAATCAAATTTATGAAATTAATTAATAATAAACCAATATTTTATATTAATTATTTGCTAGTGAATTTATAACTCAGATATTTTAGTTTCATAATAATGCAGGGGATACTATTACTCCTCAGAGCTCAATTCCCTGAAGGTCTATACTTTAAATGTTAGCTATCCAATCTACAAATTTGTGATAATTGTTAAGCATATTAATAAACTATTCACTTTCCAAGTATCTATGCAAGTCCCTTTCCACAAAGTGACTAAGATAGTGACTCGTCTTGTCCTTAAACTCAGTGCAAAATATACAACCTTCAATCTCAAAGTATTCCCTTGTTGCGATATAAAGAATTCTCAGAAATAATATTAGACATACATATCGCAACGTGTATTGGAATATCAACAGTAGAATATGTCTGTACTACATGAAAATAGATTTGCATTTTCTGAAGAACCTGTAGCAGAAATAGACACTTGCCCAGAAGAAGTCTCTCAAATACTTATAGATATCTGGACTTACTAAGAAGATAAAGAAATCATAAATGGTTTTGCAACCAAGCACCATTTTTCTATAGAGACTCTATGAATAAGAAAATCCAATAGCTTAAAAAAACTGTATAATACTTAGCGTTGTCTCCTTATTCTCAGAAACGGTCTTAGCAGCTGGAATAATGACTTTTTTTATTGCTGAAATCCCAATAATAATTTCTTTGATAATCAAGTATATTCCAATAAACCCATCTTTTATGAGAAGTAGAATCTTTAAGATGCTCATTGTTGGCATGTAGAATATTAATTTCACTAAAGAAATCTTAAACTTTATCAGCTCAATCCCCAAAGTAAATACTGGAGTGACTATCTCAAATACCAGAATTAATGATAGCTTAATTAGTCGAAACACTGATATAACAGGAAAAATTACTTCTTCTACAATTATTGACAACAGCTAGCATGTAGGAATTAGCAAATTTAGAAGGAATGAGAAAACCCCAGGCTACATAATGTAGTTTATAAAGTTAAGGAACGCAGAGGTCTTAGATAGTAGGAAACCAAGAAGAATAGATAATCTAATTGTCACGTGATCTTCAAATAATTGTTATAGACTGTTTAGATGACTAAAAATAAATGTTTAAATGATGAAAGTGAGCTTACTTATGGATGAAGCTATTTATTACTGGCACATTTTTATAGAGATCCCAGAAACCAAGAATCATAGTAAAGATGGATATAATATACACTAAGTACTTGACAATGATTCTAATCCATGGTTTGTAGTAGCCAAATTATGCTAACAATACAGTCCATTAAGGAATTGGAGCTTCATGCATTAGAAATAGAGCTCTATTTTACTTTTTATTGACAACTTCTCTAAGTGCATAAGGAAGGATGGGATCATCAAAGTATGCAACTATGGTGGTATCTTTAAGTACCCGCTCATCCTTGATGTTAATTAATTTTTGGGCTTTTTTTGGGGTTTACTGACTATTTATTGATTTAACATCGAGGTTTTCATTCACTTGAAGTGGCAGATTATCAAAGGATAAATCAGCCAAATTCTCTTCAGTGACTTTAAAAGGATCCAAGCTTGTCTAGCATTCACCTGCAGCAGTGCTCATGAAACACGTGTTATCCCCATGAAGTTAAGACTCACTGTGCCTGATACTTCTATGACCATAGTTAGGCGCCAGAAAGTCTTATCCTCTTTTTGATTGATTTTATTACTCAGGTCTAAGAGTTCTAGAACTTTGGAAGTATTAAGAATTTTCTGATTTTCTGGTATCCCTCTTAGATTTTTTGCTTGCGGATTTCTAAGTTTAGTAATATACCCTATTGATAAATTCTTTCTTGGTCTCAAACAAATTTTTCTAGGAGCTTTTTCCTCTTCTTTAGTTATTGTTGTTTTTATTAAATGGGAATACTCGCTTGATATCAATCTTATGTTTGTAATAGTTGAGTCTCGGGATGTAAAAGTCGTCATCAGGGCTTAATTTCTAAGCTTACTCCTCATCTTTATCAAGTCCATAAAAACTAAAGAAGTCTTCTACATTTTCAAAACTCTTTTTAATAATAGTTCTAGCCTCAAAAACTATTCTATTAGCATCTTTAACTAAATTGTTGGTGTAGGTCATTCCAATAATCTCCTTAGACTCTACCTCAAAGGCTACAACTCCATAAAAGTCAACTTCCTGCTTACCCCCTTTTAATTCTGTTGTAGTAAATGGGTTTTTGTTTCCAAAGTACTTAAGAATTTTACGTTTATTGAGTAAATAGAAAGAATCATAATAGAGATCCTACATATCTTCTTCATCTTCATCAGAAAGATAGAACGGTGATTAAGTCAAATTAGGTTATTTTTGAGAGAACTTCTTTTATTTGGGGGGATGGACAACTACGAATATAAACTTAGAACCTAAAACCATCACAAATAACTAGTCCTTTTAGTGAAGCTAAGACTTCCAAATGCCAAAGCCAAGACTAGATAGTGGGAAGAACTTAGGCATGGTATCTTCTGGCCAGTAAATATAGTCCTTTTCCTCTTATTCAGGGTCAACCTCAACCTTCATTTTCTTCTTAGTGCTATTGTTCTCTGATCTAACAGGCTCCTAAAATTCGCATAACTTAATAATTGAGTAAACTTACCCTATCTTTGGAAATTAGGAGAGGCGAACTCATACTTCTCATCTTTTTGTGGCCAGATTTAACGAGTCTTGAAAATAAGAGGGGATCAAAGTCAGCTGATTCCCTTTCACCTCGATCTGTATTCATAGACTCTTGAAGATCAACTCCTTCTAAATTAAAATTGCTATTTATCTTCATTATAAATTCAATTATTACTATAATATTCTTTAAATCTTTGTATTTATATTAATATGGGGTTTTGGGGTTTTGGGGTTTTGGGG